TGATGGTGGTGGTGATGGTGAGGGTGGTAACCGAGAGGGTGGTAGTGATGGTGGTGATGGTGAGGGTGGTGATTGTGAGGGTGGTCGTGATGGTGGTGACCGTGGTGGTGGTGGTGAGGGTAGTGGTGATGGTGGTGAGGGTGGTGATTGTGAGGGTGGTCGTGATGGTGGTGACCGTGGTGGTGGTGGTGGTGATGGTAGTGGTGATGGTGGTGATGGTGAGGGTGGTGATTGTGAGGGTGGTAGTGATGGTGGTGATGGTGAGGGTAGTGGTGATGGTGAGGGTGGTAACCATGAAGGTGGTGGTGATGGTGGTGACCGTGAGGGTGGTGATTGTGAGGATGGTAGTGATGGTGTTGATTGTGAGGGTGATAGTGATGGTAGTGACCGTGATGATGGTGATCACGAGGGTGATAGTGATGGTAGTGGCCGTGATGGTGGTGATCACGAGGGTGATAGTGATGGTAGTGGGTGTGATGGTGGTGATCACGAGGGTGATAGTGATGATGGTAGTGGTGATCTTGGTGGTGATGGTGAAGGTGGTAACCGTGAGGGTGGTAGTGATGGTGGTGGTAGTGATGGTGTTGATTGTGAGGGTGATAGTGATGGTGGTGACCGTGATGGTGGTGATCACGAGGGTGATAGTGATGGTGGTGACCGTGATGGTGGTGATCACGACGGTGATAGTGATGGTAGTGGGCGTGATGGTGGTGATCACGAGGGTGATAGTGATGATGGTAGTGGTGATCGTGGTGGTGATGGTGAGGGTGGTAACCGTGAGGGTGGTAGTGATGGTGGTGGTAGTGATGGTGTTGATTGTGAGGGTGATAGTGATGGTGGTGACCGTGATGGTGGTGATCACGAGGGTGATAGTGATGGTGGTGACCGTGATGGTGGTGATCACGAGGGTGATAGTGATGGTGGTGACCGTGATGGTGGTGATCACGAGGGTGATAGTGATGATGGTCATGACGATGGTGCACGTGTAGGGACACATGACGTCACTACTGTGTTGGCTCGGTACGGGTGCTGTAGGCGGGGTGTCACGGGGGTCGTGTCAGGCCGTGACACTCCGCGTGAACCCAACAGGACACGTGACTAGGGGCCCCAGGGGGGAGCTTGGGGGTCACGTGGTTGGGGGCCCGGACCTTCCCGAAGGATCGAGAAGACGCCATCAACGCTCCTCCAGACTCCGACCTTCGTCCGTGACCAGGCAGCCCGTTAACCTGCCCTGGTCACGTTATGTAGCATTCCTTCCCCGAGTGTTAGTGAAATTAGGAACGGTGGTCACCACCCTGTGTATAACGTTCCCGTTGGTAGTTATGCGTTAATAAATAGTGTTGCCTCCAAGTTCAGTGTGCGCCTCAATTGAACCCATTACACACGTGATGGAGGTGGTTATGATGGCGACAGTGGTAATTAGGGCCATAGAAAGTAATAGACTATGCATTCTTGGTTCTTTCGGTAAAGTCACGTAGAAGAGAAACAAAATAAAAAATATATAAAACAATATGAATCCCTTTAAATAAAATAATAATAGAATATGGTTAAGCTATACAAAAAAAATATTCCTGACCAGGGAGTATACATTTTGTGAAGTATAATTAACTTATCAGGGAGCATAATTTCCAAAGTTTTGCACTATTATACATTGTGCTTCCGAGTTGTATTTTATACTCCCCATACAGAAATTCATGATCACATTGTGTCTCGTGATTTTTCTCCACCTGTCACAATCCCAACACCAGGTATGACTCCAACACCAACCATGACCCTTCCACCCAATTATCTCCAACTGCTCTGTCCTCAATACCCTCAGACATGGCCACCTCTGACGATCTGAAAAACAAGCTGCAAGCACTGGTGCAGGAGATTAACGATAAGCGCGCGAGGGACTTCGAGATGTTTAAGGAATTCCAGAATTCATTATTATTCGAGGTGAGAGGATGCTACAACCCATGGTAGCCTTAATCTGGCTCTCTGAGCCTCTGGGCTTAACACCTGATCCTTAGGCACCCTAATTCTGGCTTTGAAACTGTAAAGAGGATTATTATTATAGAAGCCTCAGAATTTTAACACTGAACCTGAGGGGAGCCTTCAGAACAAAATGTACTAGGTCAATTTTAAGGAAATGGTTGGCAAAAATCATCAATGATTATAGATTTTATGTGAAAGAAATACTGTATTTTTCAAAAACTGAACAAATCTGATTACTGATCTGCCTTGTGTACATTTGGGTAAGCAAATTCCATTGAGATCTTAGAGGTGTGCTCTTCAGATACCAATAGTCACTCATGGAACCTACGTTCAACAAAGTTTTGATTAGCTCGACATAACTCTTTCACCATATGGCAGGATTCCTCAACTCTATTTTCCAGTGAGTCACACCATGGTAACATTAACGTTGGCTGTTAGGTCACGTAACATCATACATATGTTATCTCGCTTGTCTCCAGCTATTTAAAAGCTCAGTGGGACACTCCAAGCGCAGTTGACGTATAGGCCACCAGTTGCACATTTACTTATAGTACAATGTGTTTCCCTCAAATTTAGTTCAAATATATATTTAACGAGGTGAGAACTCAAGGGACAAGGATAGTCTCATTTTCAAGATCGACCTGACTCCAAGGTGGTAAAAGAGTAAGCAACAAAAGAAAGTACAGCAATTAAAAAAATATCTGAAGAAAAAACAACAGCCACCATTCACCACTACACCACTAACTGGTGGTAATGTCACCACATAGCTTGTGCCTTTGAGGCCATGGTGGAGTTTCGAAGAGCAGGAGGTCATGGGACAGGCCCAGGTCTTGTGGGTTAACTGACTGAGGTAAATGGCAGATGTACGGCCTGTGCTCCCCACTGTGTCATCTTGTGTTTAGCCGCCCACTGCTCCACTCTTGAGCTTTGCTCCTCCACCCTACATTGATGTTGCAGAGGGACTGCCATCCAATTTTCAAGTCCAATCAGCTTCATATTCTCCTGTACCACAGCAGCCCCTGTCTTTTGTAGCTTGTACCGTGACCATTCAGCCCCTTCTATCTGGCTAGACAGAAACTGATTGGGCATGCGGTGGCTGGGCATGTGGGCTATGTGACCCAGCTAACACAGTCTAGCCTCATTGAGGAACTCACTGATGTGACTTTGTCCAGATATTTCAAGACCATGTGAGTTCCTCACAATACAGCCTGGTTAAACGCAGGGTGGATTGAAGGCAGGCCAGCCTGAATGTTTCAAACCGATGCAGATGTTCCTTTAAATGTGTTCACCTCCACAAAAAAACACGATCATATGAGGAATTGAAAACGTTTCCCTCGATGATTGCTAGTAAAATTGCCCTTTCGCCCCCCTCCTCTCCCCACTGTATGCGTCTCGGGTGTGCGATCTTGTCCACTCCTCCATCATGTCACGTCATGAAGACTCCAATAACCGCTTGAGCAAGCATCTTGGGGGAATGGCGATGGTGCTGGAACAAGTTCGGAAACACGAGGTAGACCTCGCCACCTCGTGGCAAGCCCTGGTCTCAATCATACAGTTACAACAGATGCCCTAGAGGGGGTTCGTTAATGGTCATGTCACAAATTACCCCTGGAGCGTTTATTTACAGAGAGAAAAATCATCATAAGAAGTTCACAACGCCCATGCAGATTCAAAATGGATTTGTTGGAGACAAATCTTGGTGTTTTGGCTCTGGTTCTAGGTGTCTCGAGAGCATTGGCAATGGCTGTTCGGTTTATAAAGGCTGTGTTGGGTTCATATTGGCCATGCCATGTTCTGAGTTCGTACTGGATTGAGGCTTCATTTGAGCCAAATGAGATGCAGAGTAATGGGAGAAAATTGGCAGAATCTTTGAGGTCAGCACAGAGGAAAAACACAAAGAGGAATAGAGCAGAGGACTCCACCATTTAAGGAGGTGCAGATGTGCTTGTTTGGCAGGGGATATTATACGAGACCAGCACTTCAAACATTTCTATGCCAGGTTCCAAAACTTAAATACAAATTTTGGCTAATCCTTCACGTACAATGCTCCTCACACGTGGAATGATATCAAATTTGTATAACATCTAAACATGATCCTGGCCCACTCAATTTTTAATAGTCAAGTCAAAGTTGATTTCCTGCTCAAATGTGCAATGATGTTGTTTACAGCCCTTAGCCAGTGTTAGAAATGTCACATTTCAATGATGGGTGTGAGTCTACTTACTAACAGGTCTCAGGAATGGAGCCCGTCCATAAGTCGGGGACTGCCAGTATCGTAATTGTTACAGTGTTCCATACTCTTTGGTTATTTCGGTAAAGTCACGTAGGTAGAAAAAAGTCATAGATGACGACGTTTCGATCGCAACACAAGCGACCGCCATCATGTGAGACAATCGCAGCAGGGAAACTGCTGAAACAGCTTCAAATACAGATTGTTAAAGTGTTCTTTGCCTGTTTTCTCATATTTCCTGTATTTCATTACCATTGGCCTTAAATACTTTCTGGACACTTCTGAAATGGTTTGTGAGCTCAAACCCAGGAACCCAGCGGTGCCGGCTCAGCGCTCTGATCTGAGCCAAACGGCCACTTCTAATCACGCTTTGTAATACGGTAGGCGCTCGAGCCTCAATTGCTCATCTGAAATCACGTTTTCAAAAAGCAATTCCCAGTGCTAAACCAACAACGTGGTCATTGCACGCAGAATCGATTCATTGTAAACATCGCCTGTGCACGCCGATTAAAGCCGGGATTAATCGAAATTTCGATTTACGTTGTGGTCTCCGATTCGTTTTAACCTCGTGCTGAACTTGAACTTGTGAATCGATTCCTAAACATCTGTCGTCCTTTGGTGATTCGATTAAGACACGACAACTACGCTATAGAATCACGCTCATTAATCTGCGATCGATAAAATGGGCTGCATCTGACCAAAAACCTAGCATCTAATCGCCGCGATGAACGTTGCCTCTCAGCATTGATAATAATTTCCACGAATACATTGTTTGCAGCCGTATCGATTAGATGATCGGCAAGCTTCCAGGAAAATCGATTCCTCGATTCATGGCGGCCTCGTCTCTGTGCTGGGCGCCCGGTCGCCTGTGCCGCGTGAGGCTTCGGCCGCCGCCGTCGCCCCTCGCCCTGGGAGTCCCGTGCGGGGCCGTGCGCAGCTTCTTCCTCCCACCACCCACGAACGGCAACAACAACCAGCCCCATGAGTCCGCTTCGTCAATAGAGGGGAACCCCTTCTACGGGAAGTACGCCGCCAGGATTGAGGCGCTGCGGAGGTGAGGAGCGATGCAGCCGGCTGGGCTGCTCAGGTGAAGCGGGAGGCTTTCACCAAATGGCCAGGCCTCACTTTAGTTTACTCTTTAATGTGAAAGGAAAAAATAAACCCTCATAATTCCTCAATAGCATTACCCTAAAATAACATATATGTGTGTATGTTAGGACCATTACTGGATTCTCAGGACAAGACGCTTTCTCCCCTTGGATTTTAAAGCAAAAGTTGGGGGGTACGTCATGCGGTATTTCCAATTATAATGTTACACTAATTATCTTGTCAACAATGACATGTCTTTATACCCCATCGTTAACTCATTCGTATACCTTATAATGCCTATTATATCCATAATTTTAGTCATATTTAATCAATAAAAATAATCTCAATAACGTCAATACTAATCACAACCTCGGACATAATTGCAGTCATAATCTCATTGACAATTATCGCAATAATACTGATAATATTAATATTCTTAGCTCTTTCGGTAAAGTCACGTTGAAGGGAAAACAATAAAATAAAATATATATAAAACAATAAAGTGACTTTACGAAAGAGCTAAGAATATGAATTACTGCAGTCACGAAAGCTTTAAATCAAAATTTAATACTGATAATACTTAAATTATTAACGATTCTTCATCCATAACACTATGTAACACGATTTTTGCCCCTGGGTAGTAAGTGTTATGTTTTAATTGCTCATGCCTAAAGAGTATAGAAAATGTTACTATTATTCCCCATAAACTTTGCTTTTGTGACCAGGACTTTATGCGAAGGAATGACACATGCACACAACGTTTTCTCATTGAAAATAGGTACCGTACATTTCAATATATCACTGTCCTGGTCACAAAAGCAAAGTTTGTGGGTAATAATAGCCATTTTCTGTACTTTTGAGGCATAAGCAATTAGGAAATAACACTTACTACCCAGGAACACATTTTTTTGTTACACAGTGGTATAATATTTCCACTGTTGAAGGCCTGTCCACCTTGTGACATTTACCTGAGCTACTCTCATCGCTCTGTATGCATGTTGAACTTCTTTCCCACCGTACTTAGCCAACCATGCAAATCGGAGGTGCTATGTCTCCTAGATAGTGTTTCCTCTGGTGTGTTCTCTCTTGTAGCTGCCATTACATCACCAATCTCTTCAATTGCCTTTCGTTCCTTCCGGTGATGTCCGATATTTCGGTCTCTGTGATCTTGGTGAACAATGTAATTATTTACATGTGATAAGAGGCCAATGGGTTTGTAATTTTTAAAAGCAGTTTTTGTCTTCCTCTGAATAGACTGTTGCAGGAAAAATTCTCCAACTGAAAATTTCTGTGTAAATCGATCTGCAAATTTTATCAAAATCAGAATATTTGTTTATACTAGAGGAATGCGATGAGCTATCCATCTTTTTTTCACAGATGTCCAGGAGTATCTAACAGCCTGTCCCACGCATTTGTTTATTCTAGTCAGGGAGATTTCCCTTTGTTCATGTTGCTAAAAGAAGTGGTTAATTTTTCAAGGATGACATAAGCAACATCCTCCTGCTTATCTATATTATGGCCATTATGAACCTCTTAATAGAGTGACAGAAACCCAGACCCAGGGCTCAATCAAACTAAGGTACTCAGCCATCGGTGTTGGCTCGGTGTCTGTGACCCCAGCCATTATGAATCCCCTAAATCGGTGGCGTGTGGTTTTTAGAAATCGCCCGGATGATTTCAATGCTCGACTACAGAGGCTGGAGCAGATGCGGGAGGCCAAACAAGAGGAGCCAAAACAAGAGGGGACAACACAGAGGGGAGAGAAGGTGTGTGTCGAAAAGTGCATGTGCGTCCACGTGTATCTCTTAATGTTCGTGTGCATATAATGTGTGTGTTGTGGGGAGCGATAGTGTAGCGGTGAGCACACTGCACTCCGAACGCAGCGCCCCGAGTTAATCCCGCTCACGGTCAATACCAGTGACGATTATCTGAACTGGTCCTAGGCCTCCCGTAGGTCGACTCAGCCTCAAATAAGTAGCTGGTGCGGTGTGTAAACATCGCCACTAGGAAGACAAAGGCGGCCGGGCGTGGTGCTGGCCACCCACCCCCTCGTGTGCCGTTGCCGGTCTTCATTGGTTGCTCACTAACAGCAATTGCCCCAACAGTCTGTTCAGACTATTCGGGGGATCTTTGTCTTGTATATATTTGGGGAGCAATAGTGTAGTGGTTAGCGCACTACGCAATTAAACTGGCGACCCAGGTTCGATATCTGCTCACAGCCAACATTTGTGACGAATATCCAAGCTGGTTCTGGGCCTCTCATGAGTGGACTCGGCCTGAAATGAGTAATTTGCTGCAGTGTGTAAATATCTGCACTAGGGAGACAAAGGCAGCCGTGTGTTGTTCTGGCCACCCACATCTTCATGTGCTGTGTTGGCCTTCATAGGTGCTCCCTAATAGCACTTGCACCAACAGTCTGTGTAGGCTATTCGGAGGAACTTTGTCTTCGTGCATATATATTTTATTATATGTCCATATTTATTTATTAGTGTGTACTTATGTCTTTGTCTATCCGCGGGTCTGCATGTGTACATGTCTTAAACCCCTGTCACATGATATTCCAGATAACATTTTAAAACTACTGCAAGTATAACTCAAATATGAATCTGAAACTTTTATGTATCCTGGAATAATCTGATGAGCTATGAAGTTTTTTTTCACAGATTTCTGGTAGGGGCGGGTCAGAAAGTTACAAACAATACAAAAACATGATAGTAGTGCAAAGTATAGGAAAGTAAACAAGTCACTTCAATAAAAACAGAAATAACGTACAGTATAAGTACAAATTGCATAAGTATTTGTGTAAACAACGACTCAAATGTCATAAATCGTCATCTGTTATTCATCAACTGTGGTTTCATTGCTATCAGTGGCATACGTATGTGCATGCGCCAATAGTTAACATAGGCAATATAGCAGGTCTGTGCCTTTTCGTGTGTCAATCTCTCAGATAAGTAACTGTAGTTGGGTCACTGTCTTTCTATTAATATACAGTATCTGTGTGTCTCCTTATATTTTTCACATTCACCATATCCTTGCGTTTGCCTTTGTCTCTGTATCAATCTGTAGGTATTTGTGTTTATCTCTTCGTCAGTTCGATATGTTATTATTGCTGTACTATTTTGTGTTGTTGTCTCTCTGTATCCATTTCCGTTCAATAGGAGGCGCCATCTCACTCTTAATCTTCGGAACAGTGTGTGTGTGTATTGTGTATGTATGAGGCATGATGGGGAGGGGTTGCCCAGTGGTTAGGGCATACACTACGAACCCAGAAACCTGACTTCGATTTCTGGCCATAGTTCCAACCAATGGTGATTATCATAACTGGTCCTGGGCCTGCCCTAGGTCAATTGAGCCTTAAAATGAGTACCTGCCAGGCTGTGTAAACAACAGCAATGGGGAGACAAAGCCAGCTGTGCTTCTTTAAATTAATACATAAGCAAAAAAGTAGCTTATCTCGCCATTCAGAAATAAAATAACATTCACATTCATCAGCCTTCTGAACCAACATTTTACAGCTGTATTTTTGTATCTGTTTGGAGTTATTTGAGTCTCCTCAGAAGAGTGTCTGCACATGCATTATCTGTACGTGTATCTTTCAGTGTGTATATACTCTTATTATATCGTATGTATTATGTGCGAATATTATACGAGTGCACATATATTCATGTCAATTGGGTGGAGTGGTGGTTTAGTGGTTAGTGCACTGCACTGCAAACCAAACAACCCGAGTTGGACTCCTGGCCACGGTTAATGTCAGTGGCGTTTTAGGTAGACTCGGCCTAATCGAGGTGACTCCGCTTTAAATGCGTACCTGGTGCGATGTGTATCCACCAGCAATGGGGAAACAAAGGCGGCCAAGCGAGGCATTTTCCATAACGTCCCGTCGCATGCCATTTTTATTTTAATAGGTGTTCGCTTACAGCATCTGCCCCGACAGTCTGCATGGCTAAACGGGGGATCTTTGTGTAAGTGTGTGTAAGTGTGCTTTACTGCGTTCATTAACCCCATGCTCACCCCCCTGCGCTGTCATTTCTCAGTCGAATGAATTCAGCGGAGAGAGCAAAGCGCACAGCGGAAAGGTGAGAGACAGGAGAGAGAGTGTGTGCGTGTGTGAGAGAGATTTGAGACCGAGTTTGTGAGAGCGATTGTAGAGTGTGAATGTGAGTGTGTGTGCAAATATAACATATCGCTAAGGAGTGTGTGTGAGGGATTTTATCGTTATCAGCTGTTATCCACTGCTAGATGGAATCCTGAGCAGTCTCACAATGCAATAATCCATCTCCTGCACATGAGCCGTTTTAATTGCTCCATCTCTGGTGGTCATCCTCTCTAATCTGTTCCCACATTTAGCTCTGAACAGAGTTGTAGATAAAGATTAGCTATTAGACTGCACCTCCCATTATCATGGTTGGCTACGTATGGTGCGAAAGAAGTTCAACATACATAGACAGAGGGAGTGAGGAAGAGAGGGAAGAGGTTGGTAGAAAAAGGATAACCTGTAGGCATGTTACGATCTACTAAGTAACATGAATTTGTAAAATGAATGGTAGTATGTCTTAGAAATTGATTATGTATTATCCATGCAAATCAGATTCAAATGCTTCTTTTAAGCTAATGGAACGAATGATACAGTCCACACGAGACTTGCAGTACAGGTTAAACAGAACAATTAAGATAGTACAAATGAGACAGAATGACAGTATAAACAAAACGGTACAAATGAGGTAGTTATGCATAAGGCAAAAATGGGTACAAATAATATGGTCAAACAAGACTAACAGCGAAAACAAGACTGGCAGTACGGATGAGACAGAGTAAGTAAATGCAACGGTATGAGCAAGACAATGAGACGGATCAAACGGTTTTCCAGAATATAACAGCCACTTGCTAGAGCCGACCATGTAAGAACCTTTCCAAACCTTACTGGCGAGGAGAGAATGCCATTCCTCAGGAGCTTGACCGGTACCGCCAGAACCTCTTAACTATCTGCTATCTATTTTTATTTTACCTGGTAAGGGCCACTGAGCTATGTAGCTCTTTTTCAGAAGCGACCTGGCCACAAATAATAGCTCAACCAAGTAGCTTATCACGTGGAAATTTATATCAGTAACGTACTCTAAATGCATGTTTCTAAATGTGGAGGGAAAAACCGGACGGCCCGGAGAAAAATCCACATGACCACCGGGAGAATATGCAAACTCCAAATATAAAGGCATCAGGGTCGCGATCGAACCCACAACCTGTATACAATCCGAGTTAGTTAACATCTCGCCCCTGTGAGGGGGTGCGCAGTCACCTGTTTAGGTCAGGATAACATTGAACGACGTGGAGTGAATCTTATTCTGAATAAAAGAATGAAGTGAAGCTTTGGGTGCCATGCTGTTGTGAGTTAGCCTCCCCATCAACGGTAGGTGAGGTATGGTGGTGGTGATCTCTGCCCTCATTGAAAATGAACATCTGTAGAGGGACACAGGCAAAGCTGATGAGTCAGATGCCTTCTGTGACCTCCTTTCCCAGACGGTGGTTAAAGTGGTCCCTCGGGAGAGAGATATTTTTATCAGGTGACAGTAATGGCCGAGCGGGTCCTGACGCTGGTACTTGCGTGGAAGCGATTGGAAGGCATGGGCCAGATCAGCTCAATAGCAATGTAAGGAGGCAGCTGGATGTCTGTAGAGTCTGTGGGTTTGTTATCACTTACACGCGCTTTCATCACTGGCGCTTCCACACAATATCATGCATGCATACCAGGTTCAAGCGGCAACATGTGCTGCACTGTTTAGTGGTGGAATGGTGAATGCGAGCCCATGTCTTTGATACCGTAACCTATCTTGGAGCCGATCTGTCACTTGATCATTGAATTGTGTCATTTGTAAAATGCATTTTTTCTTTCACTGTGTGTGTGGACCCTATTAAAACCCGCATCAACCTGTTAGCAGCAAGCTGGTAGAGGCTGCAACCAAAAATGCAGTGACCCGCTTGTAGCTTTTGTCGGCGTATTCCACCCTTCTCCCAACGCCAAAGGAAATTGAGCGAGGCTCTGGACTGTAGCTGACGGTAATAAACTTCATACAGTGCCTATGGTTGCACTGGGTAACCCAGTCTGGGTCTGACATTGGCTAGTGGATAAGGTGTTCCAACCAGCTGAAATAAAGAGGCGGGGCCATTCTTAACATCTACAACGCCCCATGCCCAAAAATGAGGAGGCCTACTCTAACCTTCATTCGGAGGTCTAAAGCCATGTGTATATATCCGTATATGGCAGGTTTGTATATGCGCCTGTGTATTTATGTATGTATGTGGATGTTTATTTACATGTGTAATAGTCTGTGTATCTTTGCTGAATCAGGGTCTGGACTCCATCATAAAAATCGAACTCATTCAAGATAAAACGCCTCATGAAATTGAGGAGGTAAGAGCATAGCCCTCAACCCCTACCACAAGTCCACCTTTACCTCAACCACTAACACAGCCCCACCTCTACACCTACCACTAATACAGCCCTGCCTCTACCGCTAACATATATATACGTGCACACATTTGCGCACACCTATATTACACACACACACGATTGTGCTTCCTTCACCAACCCGCAATGACTGGCACAGTGAAGTGTGGTCGGACAACCCGAGTGGATGTGTAAGCCTGGGTCCCCACCTGCCGCCCGTGGTCCCAGAGCGAGTGGTAAACATTTACGCGCTTGCGTCCATGGTTACAGAATTGCAGGATCATTGCAGGTGAATTGTACTCGGCAATGAACTTGAGCTCTTTCACACAACACTACAACCTGCTGTGTATGTCCGAATAGAAACCGTGAAAGCCTGAATGGCACTTTAATTAAATGTTCTTCCAACCAGGTTCTTGGTCCTATGTTATAATTGTATTATTGCAGAATTGTTACATAAACATTGGCACTGGGTTTAGGTGCTGGACACTCCACCCCCTCGAGTGCCATACCGGACTTGCTCAGCGCCCACCAATAAAAATTGCCCCAACAGTCGATGTCGGCCACATGGGGGATCTTTGTCTCCGCGTGCAGATCTGGACTCTCTACTTCAGCAACAAAAATGTCATCTCCGCTGTGATCCCGGTGAGTCAACTCACGTCAGTGTGAGTATGCAAGAGTATGCAAGTGACCGTGTGTGTGACCGTGTATATATATATGAGTACCTGGTGCGATGTGTAAACATCGCCACTAGGGAGACAAAGGCAGCCGGGCGTGGTGTTGGCCACCCACCCCCTCGTGTGCCGTGCCGGCCTTTATAGGTGCTCGTTAACAGCACCTGCCCCTACAGTCTGTTAAGGCTATATGGGGGATCTTTTTCTTTATGTGGTAACCCCTCCACCTTCAATTAATTACCACAAAACCATGTCTAAAATATGTAATTAAGCTTATGCCGGAGGCCCCGGGGGAACAGACGTTTATGATGTCTACTGGCCAAACCCCATTTGGCGGAGCCAGGAGAGTGAATCCTTACTCTCGGGGCTCCTCCAGAAACAACAAAAAGAACCACTGCTGGTGGCCACGTGGAATGTTCGAACGCTCACTGCGGAGGAGAGGCTGCCACTCCTCTGTTGGGAGATGGAGCGGTACTACCTGGATCTCTGTGGTATTCAGGAGGTCCGGTGGACCGGCTCTGGCTCCTGCCACCATGAGGGTTGACAGTCCTCTACTCGAGGAAGGAGACTGCCAAACAACAGGGAGTGGCTCTTCTTCTGAACAAAAGAATGAAGGGGGCATGAGAGCATGGCGGTGAGGTGTGGGAAGCGCTAAGCCCCAGGCTACTTGGTGGCTCGCCTTCCCATCAACCGGAGGCGAGGTGTGGTGGTTGTGGTTACTTATACCCCACCGAAGATGAACATCTGTGGAGGGATGCAGGCAAGGTGATGAGTCAGATGCCTTATCTGACCTGTCACAGGTGCTGGCTAAAGTGGCCCCTCAGGAGTGGGCGACTTCAATTCCCGAGTTGGTCATGATACTGGCACCTGGTCTGGAGTGATTGGAAGGCATGGGCCAGATCAGCTGAATAACAATGGTAGGAGGCTGCTAGATTTTTTGTGTAGCCCATGGGCTTGTAATTACCAACACGCTGTTCCGGCATCGGCGCATCCACACAACATCACGGATGCATGCCGGGTCCAAGCAAGAACATCTGCTGGACTACACAGTGACGGAGCAGCGGATGCGGGCCCATGTCCTTGACACCAGGACATACCGTGGAGCTGATCTGCCCACTGACCATTGACTTGTCATCTGTAAGTGGCATGATCTCAGCTAGCTGATGAAAGTTGCAAGCGATAATTTCATCATCGCTTGAGGCTGGGGTTGGCATTGTCCCCCACTCCTCCAGATGTCGAGGGAAAATGGGCGAGGTTTAGGACTGTGGGTCATGCAGTTGCAATGGCTGCTTTGACCTCCCTAGAGACCCTGGCTGACAGAGGAGGTGTTCAGGCTGGCTGAGAAAAAGCAACAGGCCCACTCTAATCGGCTACAGCATCCCACGTCAGAGAATGAGGAGGCTTACCGCAGCCTTCGCTCGGAGGTTCGGAGAGCCGTGAGGCGCTGCAAGGATGGGTGGTGGTCGCGGGTTGCTGAGGAGATGGAGTCTGCCTCAATGGCCCGTGATCATAAATCACTATTTAACTCCATCAAAAAGTTACCTGCAGCACCACACCTATTACCATCATTAGGGGAAAGAACGGTGATCCAATCTCTGACCCCCAGGAACAGGTTTGCAGATTTGCTGAGCATTTCTGTGAGGTCCTGGTGGAGGGGAAACTCCTCAGCCTGGAAAACATCGTGGAACAAAGTGGGGTTGACCCTGCTGAGGCTGCGGTGCCTCATATTGGAGGAGGAAGTCACCCCCTGTGAGTGGCTAGCTGAGGTGCCATCCATTGAGGAAGTATTGAAGGCGATCCAGAGGCTTGAGACCAGGAAAGGCATTGGGCAGATATGATCTCCCAAGTGAAATGCTGAGGGAGGGTGGCGTTTGTGCACAGACTGCCCTACATGACATCATAACAACAGTCTGGATCACTCGACGGGTTCCGCAGGATTGCAAGGATGCCCTGGTGGTCCCCATCTTTAAGAAGGGGGACCGCACAGACTGTAACAACTACAGGGGCATCTCACTCCTCAGTGTGCCGGGAATGCTCCTGGCAAGGATTATTCAACATCGCCTTGCCAGGCACGCTGAGGAGAGGCTTGCGGAGCCCCAATGCAGTTTCAGGAAAGGACGGTCCTTCACAGATGCCATATTTTCTGTCCGTCTGCTACAGCAGAGATGTAGGGAATTCCAATAAAACCTACATCTCTGCTTTATTGACTTGGTTAAGGCCTATGATACCATCAGTAGGCCTGGGCTCTGGGTTATTCTTCATGCTTTCGGAGTCCCTGACCCTCTGCTCACGGTCATTAAGGATCTTCATGATGGTGCACGGCCCCGGGTAAAACTACGTGGCCGGGAGTTGGAGCCATTCCCTGTTCACCTTGGAGTGCGATAGGGATGTCCTCTCGCTCCCACATTATTTAACATATTTCGACCACGTAGTTCGTGAAGCCTTCAGTAGCTGTCCCAGAGGAATTTCCAACTGGTCCAGATACAATGGGAGGCTGATCGATGCCCGGGTGCGGTCAAGGGATGGCTCCCTATTGGTCAACCACGTCATGTATGCCGACGACCTGGTAATTGTGGCTCACTCAGAGGAGGAGTTGGAGGCACTGTTGCTGAAACTGGAGTGTGCCTCTAAGAGATGGGGCCTTACCATCAGCCCCACCAAAACGAAGCACCTGCCTGGGTATTTTCTACCATCGGGCACTCCACCCCCACAACTCCCAATCTGTGATGGGGCAGTTGTGGAGAGAGTGGAGAGTTTCCCATACCTGGGCAGTGTGCTCATGACCAGCTCTGGTTTAACAGCAGAGGTCTCACTCCGAATCAGTTGAGCGGCATTATCTTTTCATCGGTTGCGTAGCGCTGTGTGGAAGCTACCAGGTCTGGTCTGTCGCTCCGCACGATGCTTCGGGTCTTCTCGGCCACAGTCATTCCCTCCCTTCTCTACGCTTGCGAAACATGGACCCCCCTAATGGAACATCTTCGCCGGTTAGAAACATTTAGGCTGGCCTGCCTCCGATCGATCCTGGGTTTAACCAGGCTGGATTGTGTGAGGAGCTCACAAATCCTCGAAAGATCTGGACAAAGTCCCATTGGTGAGCTCCTCCGGCAGGCAAGGCTGCATTGGCTGGGCCATGTAGCCCGCATGCCCAATCACCCTATGCCCAAACAGCTTTTGTTCGGCCGGATCGAGGGGGCTTAACGGGCACGGCACAGGCTAGAGAAGAGATGGAGTGATGTGGTACAAGAGGATGTGGAGCTGAGTGGACTTGCCGATGACTGGTACCAGCGGTGTCAAGATCGGCCTCTGTGGAGGAGGCTCGTGAAGGACGCTACTGGGCAGTTGAACGCAGTCGCCCTCCAACAACAACGGAGGGCGGAGGAGCGACGCTCACAACAACGAGCGGAGCGCCGGGTGGCTAAAGCACAGCAAGTTGGCACAGTAGGGGTCACAGGTTGGTGCATCAGCCAGTCATCTCGGTCATCTCAGTCGACCCGTGGCACCTGGGTCTGCCGCGTGACTTGCCAGCGGGCATTCGACACTTCACTTGGCCTCAAGGTGCACATAGCCTGGCACAAGCGTCGTGGTGACGTCACCGCCACTTAGTGGCGAATGGCGGTTGTTGTATAGGGGAGCAGTCGTGTTGAGGTTAACGTGCTCCGCTACGAACCCAGTGACCCGAGTTCGATTCCTGCTCCCGACCAATAACAGTGGCAAATATTTTAACCGTTCCTGGGCCTCTACTAGGTCGACTCGGCCTCAAATGAGTATCTGGTGGAGTGTGTAAACATCACCACGGGGGATACAAAGGTGGCCGGGCGTGGTGTCGGCCACCCACCCCCTTGTGTGTCATGCTCGCCTTCATAGGTGCTCGCTAACAGCACTTGCCCTGACAGTCTGGTAAAGCTATATGGGGGATCTTTGTCTTTATTTTGTATGTCTTTGTATGTGTGTATGAGTATTCGTGTGTACAATAAATACGTCTTTGTGAGTGTATGTTTGTGTGTATTTGAATGTCTGTGTACATATGTGACAGTGGAATATGTGCACGCTAACAGCAATTGCCCCAGTGGGCTATACCTATACGGGGCATCGTTGTCACTGTGTGCAGAAAAGGGCAGCAAGTGTCCTTGTAGAGACAAACAGCTGCGTATCTGTGTGTCTTGTCTCCAGGGGGACACATACGACCTTATGTCCTCACGCGGGAAGGAGTGTCCCACGGTGAGTTTGTGTCTCCGTGTCTGTCCACATGGCTGTCTGTCTTTGCATTGTTATGTCTGCCTCCATGTGTCTTGTGTCTTTATGTGTATCTGTGTGTTTTTGTCTCCATGTTTCATATTATGTGGCTCCGTGTTGTTGTATGTCTGTTGTGTGTTTTTTCTGCATCTGTGTCCCTGTGTATCTCTCTATTTGTGTGCATGTGTGTCTCTGTGTTTGTGTGTGTCTTTGTTCATATCGCTTTCTGTGCACAAGTGTCTGTTACTTGAGTCTTTGTAATTGTGTGTTTTTCTGTATCTGTGTGTTAATGTGTTGGTCTGCATCTCCATCTATGTCTTTGTATATCCCTGACACTGTTTCTTCTTGTCTCCCTACGTTTTTCAATGTCTCACTTTAATTGTTCTCGGTTTCCCTCCATGTCTCCTCTTGTGTCTCTGCATCTCATGTATCTCCGTATGGTCATACAGTTACTCCGTCCTTTCTCACTGTGCGTTTTTCTTCGCCTCCTTCATTTGTATCTCCCCATATCTCCCGATGTGCACATGCTTGTCTTCCTCAGTGTCCCCGTTTGTCCCTGTGACTTCCTATATCTCGCTCCACGTCTTCTCACCGTCCACTTTTGTGTCCCCTTGTGTGTCCCCGCGTGTAGTTTGTCTACGCTGTCCCCCGTGAACATGGACACGAAATGTTCATGGGGCAGTGGGCGAGCAGCTCTATCCACTTCACCTCCCTCATTAACTTCCAGGTGACGAGGCACAGCGTCATCATCACCATCATCATCACCATCATCATCACCATCATCACCACCACCACAGTCATCACCACCACAATCATCATCACCACGACAATCATCATCACCACCACTATCATCATCACCACCATCACCCACAATCATCATCACCTTCACAATTATTATCATCACAATAATCACTTCCACAATCATCACCACGACATTTATCATCATCATACCCACCGCCATCATTATCATCACCATTATTGCCACCATAAGTATCATCATGAACATCATTACCGCTATCACCACCACCTCCATCACCTTGATAACTGCAGTTCAGAACTTCAGAGGTAAGGTTTAGCATAGCATGTACATTAATGAAACTCCAAAACATGACGGGCTGTGTAGTGACAGGCATATGGCAGTACAGCGTATGGATTTCTCAATCCATCTTTGTGGTGCGTTTGAGTGGAATCTCCTCCTTATATGATACATGGTTTTTCTCCTACATGTTAAGCACTTTAAGATGTTTAATGTTTTTGTTTGTTGCTGTTGCACGCGAGTCAAGAGTCGCATGGCTCACAGGGTTATACCTAATTAATGAAACTGAAAACTGAATTGGCCAAAAATCCCAATGTGTAGGACCCTCTTGAAAAAGTCTTCAAACTCAGTCTTAACTTGGAAAAAAGGAAATCTTTGTAAGGCGTGTTCCTACATACTGCATTTCTACTGTACATCCAATATGTTTAGCCACGTGTGAGTAAGTTACTAAGAGAGTGACTGACATGCATTCGGAAGATGTTCTAGAGGTGCTAGAAAGATGATATTTGGTACAAATATAGTGGACTCTATGCTCATAAGTACAATTTTTTTTATTCTAAATGTTTTGATTAGGACTCCCACAATTTGGGGAGAAATTGTTAACTTTTCTTCTTGAACATGGCCTAGGAAACTTAGCAGGTGGATGTTTTGAAGGGTGCTGAATCTTAATGTGGCATAATAAAAAAAAACTTTTAATAGTGCATTGTATACAGCTGGTCGAGATGAGTCGATTGCCGTATCGCCGACCATCAACAGACTAAAAATGACTGCATCACGGAGATTATGCGTGGTACCGCCATAAGGTTCATATACACACATCTTGTGGGTATCTCCATTTTCTGGGTACGTCATTGAAGGCTGTGACGCTGGATCCAGTGGAGGTTTGGGGCGACACGTCCGTGTGCTCGCACGACAGACACGCGAACCGCTGTCGGTGGCGTGTCCGTGTGTGTAGACCCGAGGGGACTTGGCTGAGAGTCAGCTCGTGATCCACCACTACACAGAGCTCCGGGAGAGCAAGGGACTCGTTCTCATGGTGTCGGAGACCTTGGGAGAGACACTGGTGAGACCAGCTTGGATTCGAGATCCTGATTCAGGGACCCGGTCTCCTGAAACACAGACTCAATCGACACTTCGATTCTGGGAACTGGTGTCCTAAAACCGAGACTCAATAAAGACTTCGTTTCTGGGATCTTGTCTCCTAAAACCCAGACACAATAGAAACTTCGATCCTGTCACCCAGTCACCTAAAACCGAGACTCAATAGAGGCTGCAATCCTGAGATTCGGTTTCCCGAAACCCAGACTCAATAGAGACTCCTATCCTGAGGCCCGGTCTCAATCATCACTCCAATCCAGTGACAGGCCTGCTCTGTAATTCCTCAAGTCATATGTATTACCCATTTTTAATATAATAATTATGCATCATTCCATGATTGCAATTCACTTCTGTGTAAGCATTTAGTAAAAGGTCTGCCAAATGTATTCCAACAACTTTTCTTGCATGCTTTTTTTGATATCCACGATTACCCTATCTGGTCCAGGAGCTTTCCTTCTTTTCATTCTGCGAAGGGCAGAGTTGATGTCTTTAACTGAGTCGGTCGGATTCCTGGGCTATGTGCATTTCTATTCTGTATAGATTTGCATAACATCTTTCAATGTAAAAAATATATATCGTTATTTACCATTGCGTTTGTCTCCCTAAGGGTGGCCATTTGTCATTTGCCAATAATCATCTTCCTCTTTTGCTGCTTTCATGCCCTTGCTGCTTGCTGTTAGGGTTTTCCTTGTATATGGATTTTGTTCTTCCATCTATTTTCACTCTTTTTCCCAAACCATTTTTGCAGAGTTTGTGTATTCTGTCTATCATTTGTCTGGCATTTTCATCTCTGTTTCATCTCTATTTTCTGCATCATACCTTTTGTTGTGAAAGGTAGCTTATTCTCCAGTTGCTTATTTTCTTTGCCCCCAACTTTAAGTCCACTATCCATTGTGATGTTCCCCGATTGCTTATGTATATATGATTAAATGCGTGTGTCTTTGTGTGACATCTCTCCACAGTCCACTCTGGAGGCAAAGTGTCTGGCATCACAAGTGCAGATATTCTATGCCGACCCGGGCCCAGAGTCAAAGTTCAGCCTCGTGCGTCGTCTAAATCACAACCCCTCTGACTTCGATCACATGACCCTCCTAGCTGCACTCAGGCAGCAAGGCATCCTGGGTATCGGTGGGCAGATGGGTGGTGCGGTGCCGGCCAGTCACGAGTGAGAGCCAGCAAAGTGCTTTCAGCCAATAATATTAAAGAAGAGGATGGTTTGTGTATGTTAATAAGGTGTGTATATGTGTATGTGGGCGGGGTTGTGTCTGTGAGTGCATGTGTGAGGAGAAGTGGTGTAGCGGTTAGCGTATTGCGCTACGAACCCCGTGACCCGAGTTCGATTCCCTCATAACCATCATCTGTGAATAATATCTGAACCAATCCTGGACCTCCCCGAGGTTGACTAAACCTTAAATGAGTACCTGGTGCCACATGTAAACATCAGCACTGGGGAGGCAAAGGCGGTTTGCCATGGTGTTGACCACACCATCCCCTCGTACTCTGTCCCGGCCATAATCGGTGCACGCTAACAGCACTTGCCCCAACCGCCTGTACGGCTACAAGGGGCGTATTTTGTTTATTACAATGGCTCACACACTGGGCTATGAACCCAGTAATGGGGTTTGATTCCCTGCCGTGGAGGCCATTGGTGGCAAGCGATATCTGCACCTGGACTAGGCAGCCCTGTATGTTGGCTTAACCCTCAGTGAATATCTGGTATGGTAACGCAGGTTATGCACCCAAACTCTGTGATCTGCGTGTGGGAGTTTGTACGTGAACAGTTTCTACACATGCGTTTGAATGTATGAAGTTACGTTGTTCAATCTGGAACCGAGACAATATTTAAATAAAGCTGCGTTTGTGTTCAGCAAAGAAATAATTGATACACTCTGGTTCTTTCGGTAAAGTCATGTAGGTGAAACAATAAATAGAGTTGATATAAGTTGATATAATATATAAAAAGAGTTGATATAATGCTTTAATCCTGTCCCTTATGACTACAAATATTGCTTAACAAGGAAGAGCACAGAGGCTATGTCAGATACTTTGCCAGCACCACGGATGGTCCCAAGGTCAAACAAACTATACAAATTTTTTTATTTTACCAGGTAAGGCCCACTGAGCTATAGCTCTTTTTCAGAAGTGACCTGGTCACATGATATGCCAACAAGGTGGCTTATCACGTGGAAATGTCCACCAGCCAAATACTCTAAACGCATGGTGATTCTAAATGTGGAGGTAAAACCCCGGAGGACCCGCAGATAAAGCCACACGACCACGAGGGGAGACATACATACTCCAAATATACAGGCGTCGGGATCGAACCCACGACCTGTATACCAGGCGATGTAGTTAACATCTCGTAATCTTGGCGCGCTCGATTTGGGTGTTCACTCTCAGTTCATCATGGCCATTTTAGCAATGCAGACAATCCTGGGATGGAGCCCCGTGTCTGGTTGTCCCCCTCTCTTGAGGTTCATAATGGTCATTGGAGAAGCTGGGTTGGAGCTCAGGGTAATTGGTGCCTCAGCATTTTGATCATTTGTATATAAGGGCAATACAAGTGAAGGCTTCTGGGAATTGTTATGTTAAGTGGCCATTGGGAATGCCATTTAACCAGAAAAGTAGCATAAATTATACATGTGAAGTGAGTCACTTCGGAGACACTAATAGGAGGCAACACACGTTTATTCTACACTCTTAACACTGTTCACACACGGGATAACTATAAACGGGTCAGAGCAGCCGGCACGCTGTCTGACCCACGACGCCGGAGACAAAGACGTACCACGTTGGGTTCCATTCCACCGACAGCCCTTATCCAGCCTCGGGACTTCCCTTTTATGCCCCCCGGCGTGGCCTGGCTCAACCCTCGGCCACGCCCCCTTCTGGAACCTACCAGAAGTTTCCGGGCCACCTTTCACGTGTCCTCTGCCTGGCTCCGCCCCTTTCTGGAACCCACCAGAAGGTTCTGGGCTTTCCCTCACGTGTCCCCTCGGTCACGTATGCCCCACATCCTTTACCCCGGCCTATCACGTGCTCATATGAATCGATTGGCGGTGACCCGGGTCACCATCGTGACCCGGGGGTGCCAAAACCTCCATAACTCCGAAACCAGAAGGCCTATGAAGACGGGAGATGTAACTGAGCCCGATACGCACGCCAAATTTGGAAATAAAAAAAACACGCAAAACACCCATAAAAAAGGGGAGGCTGCTGGGGATTTGTGCGTGGCAATAGCTGTTTATTGCTTGTTTTGAAAGTACATCAGGATGCTGGTCTGGTCATTCCCCAGCACGTTCTGCTTCTTACGGGGGCGGCCACCCTCCTTGTCTTTGTGAGCGAGACCACTTGGAGGCAATGGGGCACCAGGCACTCTCTTGGTACGGCCGGCGGTCATGGTCGTGCTGGCGGGATCGACATCGTCATCATCATCACTCCCAGCGTCGCCCTCCGGCAGGACAGCGTGGTAGTACCAGCGAAGCTGCCAGAAAAAAAACCTTAAACTATGCCCGGCCCACCAATATTTTGCGATGACCTGGGCTACCGCCAATCGATTCATATGCCCCGTTCTGCCAGCAGCCAGCGCCACGCACCCTAGTGACCCACTCCGTGGCATTGCAATGCTCTGCTGGCAGAAGGGCTGCCCACACCCTGCTCTGCCGGCAGGTCGGCCGTTACGCCCTCATTCCGTCTCTGTCAGGAACCAGCGCTACGCGCCGTAGTGACCCAGTCTATGTCACTACACATGTTTAAAAAAAAACAACGCTAAACAACAGCATTAATGGGTGAGGGCTTATTGGCAGGCAGCCGCAGGACAGACCCAGGTATCGATATCACGTGGAGATTCTGTTTGAAAGGTTTCTAGAGCTAGGTAGTAAAACAAAAATATGTTAAAATAGTGTAGGAGCCACAGGGCATCCCTGGTCACATGCCAAGGTGAACAGGCGATGTCTCTTGACTCCCTATTACACCTCTCGTATATATCAGCACCCCGCGTATACATGCTCGTTCACGTGCAGGTAAGCTCCCGGCCGTATACAAACACATTCACATGCTCACACAGCACATTGTACACACACATGGTATATACACAACCATAAATACAAGCCACATTACACACGTTTACAAAGACAACGGTCCCCCGTATAGGATTCACATACTTTTGGGGCAAGTGATGTCAGCGTTACTTGTACACGAACACTGCTTATATACACACACATCCACACCGTGTACACCCATAAACTCACTCGTCCCTTGGCCGAGCATCTTAACTCGTATCGCCATTATCTACATCAGTGCATTGACGAAGGGAAATACCCTTATTACACAAATACAAACATCCCCGCATCGCCTTTTAAAAGACTTGGGGCAAGTGCCGTTGGCGAGCACCTATGAAGATGGGCACGGCACACTCTGAGGTTTCTGGCCAACGAAACCACCACACCCGGCCGCCTTTGTCTCCCCAGGTTTACACACCGCACCAAGTTGTATACTTTGATAATAATAATTTAAAAAATCTATAAAGTCGACGACCTGGGATGCTCAGAATGGGTTGGGATAACTCTTCATCAATGTTGACTGCGAGCAGGAATCCAACTCGGCTCACCGGTCGGTGTCTGCAGCGTGGTGCGCTAACCACGGCGCCACCGCTCCCCCACCACCCCCACGTGCAACAAAGAACCATCGTATGTATAGCCTTAACAAACTGTTGTGGCAAGTGCTGCCATGAAGAACGGCACCACGCCCGGCCGCCTTTGTCTCCCTCGTGGCGACGATTACACACCGCAGCAGGTACTCATTTGAGGCTGAGTCGACCTAGGGGAGGTCCAGGGCCGTATAATCGTCACTGAGTTGTTGGCCGTGAAGCGGGACTCGGAACACGGGTCGCCGGGTTCGTAGCGCAGTGTAGCGCTAACCGCGGCGCCACCGCTCCCCACGCAGTGGTACAACTCGCGTGGACGCGCACGCACGCGCACGCCACCCGCCCGCCCGCTTGCCCGCTTGCCCGCGCCACATAAATTGAATATAAAAGTTTAATGAGGCTGAACGCTGTAGATATAACAAAACCACATCAAAAATACTCATAAATAAATATACAATAACAATGGCAATAATGAACACGATCACTGGGAAACGGCACAAGACGGATCGTGTGTTTACAGACACGCACGTGTACACACACACACAGCACCAACAACACACACAAAAAGATCCCCCGTATAGCCTTAACAGACTGTAGGGGCAAGTGCTGTTAGCGAGCACCTATGAAGGCCAACAACTCAGTGACAACACACACACGTGTACACACACAGCACCAACAATACACACACGTGTATACACACAGCGCCACACGCCAACAATACACACACAATACACACACGTGTATACACACACAATACACACACACGTGTACACACACACAATACACACACGTGTATACACACGCGAACAACACACACACAACACACACACGTGTACACACACAATACACACACACACGTGTACACACACACAATACACACACGTGTATACACACGCGAACAACACATACACAATACACACACACACACACGTGTACACACACAATACACACACGTGTACACACAATACACACACGTGTACACACACACAATACACACACAACACACACGTGTACACACACAATACACACATGTGTACACACACACGTGTACACACACAACACACACACGTGTACACACAATACACACACGCGATCAATACAAAAACAACCTGATAGCCTTAACAGACTGTTAGGGCAAGTGCTGTTAGCGGAGCACCTATGAAGGCCGGCACGGCACACGAGTGGGTGGGTGGCCAGCAACCACGCCCGGCCGCCTTTGTCTCCCCAGTGACGATGTTTACTACACACTGCACCAGGTGTGTAATAAACACGACATCGATGCACACAAAGACAAACACACACGTACATATTGCATGTACATAGACATGCACATACATTTATTTTGTCGGCATGGTGTATTAACAGATATTCATCATCAGCCCCGGAATATCTACTGCTGGATGGACGGCTCCCCCCGGGGCGTCCTGTGATGTAACGATCCATCTAGTTCCTGCACACGGGCTGATTTGAACACATTCGTCAATAACCCCGTGTGTAGCCTTAAAAGGATTTTTTTTTACAGATGACGTTTCGGACAATGTCCCTTATTCATAGCACATCAGGCCACACACATGCGGTGTTATTGACAGATGTGTCGGGTTTTGTTAGCTGCGCTTGTGCGCGACTGCCAACGCAGCAGCATCACCAAATAATTAGTTTTAAATAAATATCCAGACACACACACACATAAGCCTTATTAAAATAGATATAATACACACGACTATATACATACCCATAGTGAGATACAGACATGTACGGGGTACATACAAGCAGACTACAGCATAATACAGATACATCAAGCACAGGTAAAGACAAAGATCCCCGTATAGCCTTTAACAGAGTGCAGGGGCAAGTGCAGTTAGCGAGCAACTATGAAGGAGAGGACACGGCGCGCAAGAGGCAGTGGTGTGGACGAACACCACGCCCGGCCGCCTTTGTCTCCCCGGTTGCTGATAGTTTACACATCACACCGGGTACTCATATAAGGCCGAGTCGAACAGATATTGGTGAAGGTATTCGCCACTGATGTCGGCCGTGAGTGGGAATCGAAACCTAACGGTCAAGATGATTTGTTTGAGTTCATGACCAGGGGAGTAACTCCAGAGACCAGGCGAGTCGCATTTGCAACGAGTGACCTGGGGTCAAATCATTCGGCTCCCCGGGTTGCGCAGCGCGTTGCATTACCGCTATACTAAACTATTTTTAAAATGTAGTTTAAAGGACGCCAATCA